GTCCCAGTCAGTACATAACTTTCAGTTTTCAAAAACAACGACCTCGTTTTTTTAAATTCCTCCTGGTTCAGAAGGAGCTTCAGTCTTCCCGTACGTTGAACTGAATTTCACGATTCACCCATAAAAGGCAGCTCTTTCTTGGCACCGGAATGCGGGAACTGAATGATGAGAGATCCGGCCACTGTTCAGCAATTTCGTTTCGCTGAACGGCAGATTGATAAAATGTGATAAAACGGCATCTACCAAGGAATATACAAGTCACTTTACACGATCTGCTGGTATTTTTTCTAAAGGAAAGATCCACCATTAGAAACTTTCGTCCATTTTCAGGTAGTACCTACTGTCGGTCGATAACTGTTGGATGGGGAGTCATCAATCAAGTCGCACACCAGACCAACCCCAGATTTTCTGCCTGCTTCCAGCTGATCCTATCCAGCTGCAAAGGATATGTAAAGATGCAGAAAGATGACATATCACATAGATATATGTTCATGTCAGCATGAGTCCAAGTAAACACCGGCATGGTTTTTACAGAGTAGTAGAGACCTGGATGATATTGCCAAGGAACCGACAGTGGCGTTGTGGAAAAATTGCATTCCAAAGATGATTTAAACACCAGTGGTCAAAAATTCTAGGCTCATGTCGCAAGGTTCGTAAAGCATTTTCAACCAGGTAGTTTGTATGATGTCATTCAACGCTTTTTTGAATCTGAAAGCACAGATTAATTTGGCTCATTCGGCCTGAGTCCAGGAGCCAGCACATGCAGAATAAAGGGCATGAAAATCAACATGTTAAGCACTGAATTAGAAACAAGTATACCAAACAGCATTTTCAGTACAAAATTCTACCCCGAACACATTATATACAGAAAATACAAACAATAATTTCACTGGCATAAAATTGTGGCAAAAATTTCAGCGTGGATCGTTAGTAATTGAGATATGGCAATTTCATTTAGAAAATGATGGTGAGGAATGCAGAGTGACGCTGAACTTCACCGACGGCATGATGCATACCTCCGCAGTTGCAACGGCGACAAAGTTTAGGGTCTTCAAGGCACCGCGAATGAGGCCGCAAGAGAAGGCCAAGTAATAAGGAGACTCCTCGCGGTATTGTTCCGTGTTTGACAGAGATGACACGAGCCAAAATCTTGTATCACTGATTATATACGTGCCCTAAAAGGCAGTCTCATAACTTTTCATGAAAGAAAAGCGGCGATATCTGTGGTCAAAAGATCACAGTTAATAAGTAGTCGATTAGCCAACCGTTTTATGGGTTGCAAGCTCTGCCAGACAGATTTTTATATTAATTCTTAA